AAAAACATCCCACTCTGCTTGAAGATCATAATCTTCCGCTTCCATTTGGAAGAGCGAAATGACGAACCCGCGCCACGACCCAGCAAAAACATGAATTACATTTTTCCCGTCTCTTGGCAACAGTATGCAAGACCTTTGCGTGGAAGGTTTTGGGTTCCTCTGCGTTTGAAACCGTGCTATACTCCGTTTACACTTGAAGAGGCGGCGCAACCGATTTTGTGCTGAATTTTTTTTCCCATTACACAGGTATATTGGCACTATTGAAATTCAAGTATACTCGCACGCAACACCATTGTCTAAGAAACCACGTTGTTGCGGTGTAATGTCAAGGAGAAAAGTGAGCGGTTTCTTTCAATTTCTCATCCGCAATACTTGATGACGTAGCATAGGGTCGCTTTATCCCCCAGTGACGGTATTTGAATGCGGCCCATAAATTGGACCCAAGCATTGCGTGAGCACTCGATTTGTGCTCGTGATAATCAATTGCTCAACAAGCATTCGGGCAGTGGCCCGTGTCCAATTGCTGCAAGGACGACAATAGCCGAATCCTAACAATGTCTGTAACTCAGCGCGCGTCCTGCGCTATGCCAACCTCAGCCCATGGCTATGAACAATATTGGCGGCATATAATCGGCTCCAGATAATGTGGCCGCTTATTCTGGCAGCGAGTTGAGGGGGTAAACGCTGCTCGTTTTTCGTTAATTTTCTGTGCAACGTTTATTCTGTGCGGAGAAAAACAAACCCGTGTTCCATTGGTCATAAATGCCAGGGATTCATTCTAAGTGGTATTTGCACAAAGTACAAAGAGTGTTGCACTGCCCCCTTCAAGGGGTTTTGAAACGATTTTTCTACTTTCTCTACATACTACTTAGAATCACTCACTAACGTTAAAAACTGAATAAATTTGCTTTAGTGTTTCTTTCTAGACAATGGCAGGAGCCACAAAAAATTTGAGAAATATAAGCGTCGTTCATCGTCTCAACTCGGAGCCAGAACGAGCGGCCACGTGGCCCGTTGCATATGCTATTCCGCCAACGTTAATCATAGCCAGGCGCTGAGGGCATATGGTTGGCTTGGTAGAGGTCCTCGGATCCTCAGATCAAGCTCCAACCTAACGTCTGCAAAGAACGGCGATCTTGATGGTATGAAATGCGCGTTGCAGAAGCACTGTGGAAGTTTTAACATATATAACGTAGTAACCGCGTTAGCGTTCTCCGCCGCGTCACATTGAGGACTAAGTAACTTCACAAGAGAGCCATACGGCCCCGAACTGGCGCTGCACCTTAACGCTGTTTCAAACATATGCAACGGTTCCATTTGCGTGCAACTGAAACGACCGTAACTACCGAAACAGCCCAACAACCGCTAATCATGGAATGCTTCGCGAAGGTACCCCCAGCATCGCTTGCCACGCTGTGTCCGGCGAACTCTTGTCCCGGTAACTTTGCCGTTATGCTCATTTCGGTTGCATCCGAACGCAAACAAGGCAGATGTGTGAACCAGCCTTTAGGAACTCATGACGTGGCGACATTCCAACGGAACTTCACAGGCCGCCATCACACGCAATTTTGAAATCTTTTATTTGTTTTAAAATTAGCCTTCTTGACTTCTCTCCTGGCAGCCCGGAAATACTAGTCAAGGCTTAGTGTTTCTGGGCTGCCGACGCAACATAGACTACCTCTAAACAAAAATATGAGTTTAAATATTTCGTTTCCGGGAATTAAGGCCCAGCCGCGTTGCTAAGAGTGTCGACTCCTTCCTAAAGAAACGGTCCGCATATTGAGGTTTCGACGACGACGAAATTAATCCCTGAAAAAAGGGGAACAAGAGGGACAAAGGACAAACACAAATCTCCGAACACAGCTAGGAGACTGGTGCGCAACCGAAAAACAATCCGCCTGGTGCGGGTGTCGAGCCCGGGACCTCCCCATTTCCAGTGGAGCGCTCTACCAACTGGGCAAACCAGGGTTTAGACGTCAGTAGAGCAGACAGGTTTTATCAGCTGCCACGAGTCTAACACCAGCCAGGGTTAAAGGCTTGCAAATTAAGGTTATCATCATAATGCAGTTAAATGCAAAGGTGCAAGCAAGCTGGACAAGAATGACGGAAATAATTCCACGAGAAGGGGAACAAGAGAGACAAAGGGCTCTCCACTGGAAATGTTCTAATGGAGAGGTCCCGGGTTTGATACCCAGAGCAGGTGGATTTTTTCGGTCGTGCACAAGTCATTTAGCTGTGATTGGAGATTTGTGTTTATCCTTTGTCCCTCTTGTTCCCCTTCTCCAGGGATTATTTCCGTCATTCTTGTCCAGCTCGAATACACCTTCGGATTTAATTGCATTATAATCATATTGAGGTGTAACGCTCTGCACCCCACCCATCCAGGCTTCTGTTTTCGGAAACGGTGGGGAGCGCTGCACGGGGTAAATAATAGAAATTATTATTATTTAAATCGTGATTTGAATCATAATTTGTATCGTGACATCAGTCATACCAGTTTTCGATGTTGATGTACATAAAAAATTATTCAAAAATGATCCCCGCCAATTCTCTTTTTTAATTTACCGCTTTTCTATCATTTGATGCGTTCTATTTGCATCTGCTTTGCATTTAAATAACACAAAAATTACCAAGGAAGAAGGATTCACTTCAGGCTGAATATGAGCAAAACGAAGCGCTAGATCGGAGCGTTAAGCTTGATTTCTACCTTCAAATTCGGTCATCAGTTATGGAACGTCCTATTGCAGCAATGCCAGGGCGTAAAAAAAAGGAATGAAAACTACAAATGGAATTTTCTATTACAATAAAATGACAACTCGGAAGAAAAGCAAAGGGAACTTTTCACCTAACACAAAGTAATTCAAGCTGTTTCTGTTCAAAGTATATCATCAATACTCATCTATAAATTAAGGTGCACCTTAAAGTTACAGTATTTTTCCAGAGTTGTTTTCAGTGATCCAAAACTTGTGTTTCAAAAGGAGTCACTCAGTATTCTCGTCGTCAGCATTGTGATGTTAAATGCAGAAAACCGATACCCAGTCACTTCGCGCACTTTACATTTTATATTTGCTGTTCCTCGAGCCACAATTCCTTCGTCAGCCCTGCATATCACAGAGCAGTGGTAAATCATTCGCGAAACCAAAAACCACTCGCAAAAAAGCAAATTCGAAGCAGCCTGCTTGGCTCATTGTTGGGCGGCAACCAGAAAATATCGCGAAGCGTGAATGAAGTTTAAATCACTCGCCAACAGATAGCAGATCATAAAAATGAAGAAACGCCGCTTAACAGAATCACAGACATAAAAATATAAGAAAACAACTTAAAATAGAATAATTAACATAGATTCAGTTTGCATTCAAGTATTTTCAACACTGACAGATAAACAATTTACGCACAAACAGAGACGTAAAATATAAGAAAACAAACATATTATAATAGTGATTATGCATTTAGTTCGCATTTTAGTTAGAAGCTAGGGAAGTATATTGGGCAGGAGATCGAACAATAAGGGGCGCTTTATCCAACTTGTTGTCTCAACAGCTCGGTGCCTACAGACACAGCCTAACAAAAAAAAAGTTGCGGTGCCTTAGCTCGACTATGCCAGGATATACATAGCGTGAGCTTATGAGCACAAAATGAGAGGCGCTATCAAGCGGCTCCGGTGCAGCGTCAGACTTGGCTACTGCGCAACGGAGCCGCACAGCTGGGCACGCGGCGGCGCCAGTGCGTCTGCCGTGGCTATGACGTCACTCCTCTGGAATGCGCAGACCGGCCAGGCGGGCGTGGCAGCGGCGGAGCGCGCGGCGGCGGCGGCTCCGGCGCGCCAGCTGTGCGCCGTGTGACGTCACTGCTCCTCGCGCATGCGCAGCACGGAGCTTAGCTCATTATTCGAGCCACGCGAAACTGCTCAACCTCGGCCAGTGTAGCTCACGCTACAAAAATTGAACCTCGTGTAGCACAGTCTGGGCAAGAGCGCTTCGCTTCGACCAATGCTTTTGTCGCACGAGGAGCGGCCTTAGAATCGTCATATTAGATCTCTGGGATCAAAGACAAAGACGAAAATTCGGTTTGTTGTCCCCACAGCTTAAGCATACGGCTAGAGGCGTGACTGCTCGATTTCCTTTCCAATACCTTAGCATTTGAATTCCAAAGTTCGTTCTGGAGTGCGGCACTATCTTTTCTTTCTACACAAAGGTTTTCATAAACTACTTACAAGAATGGGGGAAAAGTCCTGAATGATACATATATGGGATGAAAAAAAAAATACACTTAATCACCAACGCAACCACAAAAACGCCAAAGTGTACAAAAGAGGAAAATGCGTAATGAATTGCACACACATTGTGGAACTCGAACAGTACAAACACTGAATTTAACAATAATACAAATCAGATTCATAAATATCTGTTAAAAAAAAAAAAAAAAGACAAGCAACTTGCTGAGGTGTGACAGGAGTAGGTTTAGAAATAGCCTTAAACAACCTGTATGAATGAAATAGTGACAAACATTTTAGTTCATATGGCGAGGACGTAAGAGTATATATGTTGAAGACACCGCCCAAAAGGCAACTGAATCCTCTTCCCCGGATAGATAATAAAGAAGCAACTATAGGAATTCAAGAAAAGAATGTTCCTTCACGGCGGGCGGGAAACCAAAGAAAAAATAATTTATCGTGGTGTAGAGTCACTGTCTCGTAGTCGTTCGTTATAATTGTAAATGCCGCGACACCGCACGCCGTGGCGCGCGGTGTCACGTCAGACGCCTCGCCCCCGCGCGCCTCGGCGTCTGCCGCGACAGACGCAAGCGGACGCCGGGGGAAGCTATACAGACGCTAGTTTGCGCGTGGAGTGTACATGATGAAACGCTAGGACGTCGCTTCACGTCACCATTAAATGGTCGCGTCTCGCGGACGCTATCGGAAGCGGTTCTTTTGTGGTCGCGTCTCGTGAACGCTACAGCTCCCCCTGGCCGAGAGAAACAGACCTATAACCACGGAGAAGGCGAGCGAAATTGCACCTCAGCGGCGCAGAAGAGCGGCGAAGCTTAACTCGGATCCCGAAGTAGTTGCCCGGCAATTAGCGGTTGAGCGTAAGAAGACCGATCAGAAGAAGGCTAAACGTGCTGCGGAGACATCGGAGCAAAAGAAGGAACGTCTAGCAAAGCGGCGTCACCAGGAGGCTGAGCGACGTGCCCGACCATCTCAGCAGCAGCAACAACAAGACGCCATCGTTAACGTCAAGGCTCGCCGATTGACTGACTATACGGTGAAACTTAGTGAAAGTGCCAGTGCGACTCGGACCTTCAAGACGGACTTCGTAAACAATCCTTTTGGATGTGTGTGCGACGTGTGTGAAAGACTGTGGCACATGAAAGACTTGACGCCGGTAAGTAGTGCCTTGCGTGAAACGTTGAGTTTAGCGGCGCCGCCTACCCAATGGGGAACCACCATTGATCTTGTGTATCAGAGACAGATAATCAATTCCAAATACTGCGTTAAGGCCATAGAGACGGCAGCGTGTTACTACACTGACCACCGAGCCGTCTTTGTGGCAATAGAGAAGCAACCAGACGTTTAGCAAAAAAATAAATAAATATACATGTGTCATATAATGCATATACCGTGTGTGTGTCATTGAAGCAACAGTAAGCATGATAATCAAGCTAATCCTAGACGACCAGGAAAGCTAAGAATAAATAGCTGAACCTTTGCTCACGCTACGTATATCCTGGCATAGCCGAGCTAAGCCACTGCAAAGTTTTTTTGATAGCACACTCTATGGCAGTTTTCCTACTGGGTTGTTCAACGGTAGGATATTCTAAGCTCTGTTTACATATGAAATATGATCTACATTTGACGAGCGCATGTTCCACGAATACGGTCGAGCCCCCGAGCCTAGTTGAGATGATACTCGAGAGGTTTCCTTAGTCAGTCGAGAAACGTCAACCTGCGACACTCCGCCCACTCCGATCACGGCCCGACCAGCCTGGCATGAATGCCCGACAGTATACGTAATCTCATATTGCTTTTACACCACTGATACGCGAACACCACAACGCACAACACTAGCTGTCATCGCGATGTTGTGCTATGTTGCTGACTCTCGGTTATACAAAACCAGTTTGATTGTCGGTTGGCACACGGCATCAGAAAACAGAGCCGAACGCAGCACAGAAGACACGCAGTCACCCACAGCGAAACCTCCTCGTCTTAGACGCAGTTTCTGCGATTTGCATAACGTTGTCAACGTCGTCATGTCATTCTGCGATCCGGAGACAGCCATCTTAGCCCAGTGTTCGTAACACCGCTGGCAGTGCTCCGGAACTTCGCTATTTCTAGCGGCTTCGTTTGCACGTTTGACAAAATTAGCGCGGATAATGTCAGTGCAAGCGAGATACCCAGCGTGTTTGGACTGGGAGACGAAATAGCTGTCGGCCTTCGCTGCCGTTGAAGCTCGATCAGCTCAACAACGTTTATTAAACAATGCGCGACACGTGTTCGAAAAAGATCACGAAAGAAAACGAGGTGGGAGGGCGGAACTTTCCGCCCGTCTGCCTGGTGAAGGAGAAAAACGTCTCGTTCCTCCCATCTTCTCATTTCCACTTGAGGGCGCTTCAGTAGAAGGGAGGAAAACGCGCAGTTACTACCTTTTTCTCCTTTTTCTATAGAGTGCAGCAGCGCTCTTAGATGCAGAATACAACGAACTGCTTCCTGCTAATAAAAATAGTATGCTCCTTGAATGGGTGGAGGCGACACAACGAACGTAAAGTTCAAAACCAGTTGTACCAGGAGCGGCTTGAGGACGGCATTGATGAATATCGAAGGCTCCTTCGACTGCCTCAGACGACGTGCGCAACAGTGTAAGCCACTACAAGCTGAGCGATCCCGAGGCCACCGCCGGTAAACCGGTTAGCAAAATCAGTAATGTTGCCAGACACGCGAACAAAATACCGCCAATTGCGAAGGGATCCTGAGCCAAGGCCTTTGTGCGGCCCGAACAAAAGCTCCCCCCATTCCCGTGAGCTTTCTACGTCAGCGGGGCTCCCCGCAAAGGTGTCACGTTGTTACCACGTGATGCATCCCGGAGAGCAAGTGGAGGATTTTCTCCCCCGTGTGAATACCCCTTAAGCTCTGAGGGACTATATAAACTTTTGTTAGAACACCCGACCGGCCTTCTGATTGGGTGTTTTTCACAGGTGTTACTGTTGACCAGGGATGGGAAAAATACATGCAAATATGTATCGAAATACAAATACAAAATACTTCGTCAAAAATGTATTTAATTGCAACTCTAATTACATTTCCAAAAATGCATTTAAGTACAAGACACAAATATAACCAAATATATTTGGTCTCCCTTCAAATACTTTTCCAAATACATTCCTCGAAATTTGCGTCAGCGACTTCGGGGCACCCGCAACGGGTTTCTAGGTATCTCATTTTAATTTTGCATTGCACACTCGGGAGTTATTGTGCGAGGCTCTAGGAACGTAATAGAAATATAATTACAATAAGATGTAATCAGCTTGGACGTAATAGGTGAAAAAAGTACAGAGCTTCGTGCAGCCTTTTTTGTCGATTACACTTTGGTATAGACCAACAAAGAACCCAGACGACCAAGACGCGCAGCACTGGCTAGAGAATTTTTTATTGTTGCAACTTGCACCAGTTACGAAAATCTGGACGACGCGCGCATTTAGAATGTTCCAGGCAAAACTATGGTTGGAAATCAGGCTGGAAAGTATCAAAAGTTGTCACAGGCACTTATTTAGCCAGTCTACCTGTGAACATCGATTTCGTCACAATTCTTGCCCTGGACTAGTAACGTAATCACAAAGTCACTACACGCTTGTGCTTGATTGAGAGACGCTGCATTTGGTGCAGAACATTGTTTTCTTTCTGCTCTGGACAGTGACAAAAATTTTGAGGGATGCATTTTCGCCCACAAAATTGTATTTAATTACAATTGTATTTGAAATACCTACGTTTTAGTATTTAAATACACACGTCAAATGCATTGCTCAATTTGTACTTAAATAAAAATGCAAAATACACAAAGTATTTTAAATACGTATTTCAAGTACTTGTATTTGAAATACTGCCCAACCCTGCTGTTGACGTTGATGTTATTGTTGTTTTCTTTTTTTTTTTTTTTGGAGGGGGGGGGGGTGGGGGGGGTGGGCAGGGTGTGCAGGTTCCTCTTTGTTCGGGGTGAGTAATTGCCTGCCAGAACGACGTCCGATTAGATCGCCCACAGCACTGGCGCTCTGTCGTTCTCCGGTGTTTCATGGAACCGCCTCACGCCATCGAACATTCCCAACAAAACCCGACTAATGGTCTTACGCGAATCAAGAATCTGTCTCCTTTCTGCTTTCAAATAATCGGTATATAATAGAGTGGGCTAATAACCGTTTGGATCGATCGCGTCATTCTTTTCTTTATCACTGCAATGAAATTTCATCGCTTTCCCCAGCACTGTGAAGGCTATCAAAGACGCGGTGTTTTTCGATTCGAACCGCAATTCGCACCACCCTATAGTTAGGGAGGTACGTTGTTGGGCTAGTTGGTTCATCTTAGTAAAACATATAAAATAGCGCAACAGAAAACAAGGACAAGACGTTAGCGCCTGTATTGTTTACTTCTTGTTCTTGTTTTCTGTTGCGCTATTTTATGTTTTACTATAGTTAGGGCTCCGTGATTTCGGATAAATCCGAAAAACTCCGAAAAACATCCGCCGGTAAAATCTTTGTCAATTCGGATTTATTCGATAAACCCCGAATTATGTGCCCATACCACTCCTCCCTCGCCCCCCCCCCCCCCCCCCCCCTACACACACAAAAAAAAAAGTATTTTTTTTTTACACTTTGAGCAGCGCATGATCAATGGACCTGGGAAAATGACACCAAAATTATCTTTCAAGCCACTAACCGTTGCCAAAAGGGGGTCTTACGGCTTGTCTCGTCAAGGTTGGTTCAGGGAAGCAGGTCATCGTACCATTCGTGTCTCGAAAAAAAGCCACTCTTTTAGGGGTGAAACTCCTGAGGGTCTAGCCTTGTCCGTCCGTCGGTCCGTCCGCCCGTCCAACCGCGTCCGTGCACACATAAAAAGAAAAAAATCTTTGCGCAGCCGACAGGATTCGAACCTGTGCGGGGAGACCCCAAGGGATTTCTAGTCCATCGACTGCAGGACGAGTAGGGGGCTCTGGGATGTGGTAGTAACTCAAGAGCTGGGGTCTCTGTCATGGATGAAACGTCGCATGTAGCCGCTCAACGTCTATACAGGAGACGGCGCTGCGGCCAAATGCGTATATAATCGCGTTAAACTTTGCATGCATTGGCTTAACGTTTATAGACGAAAGGGCGCTGCGGTCAAATGCTCAAATGCGTATAACCACGTTCCATACCACACATTCTCTTTCTGACATGGACCGTTGACTTAAGCGGTGGAGATGCGTTCCCACGGCTTCTAGCAGATCCAAGCTGATCCGCTAGAAGAACCACTGGCTCTGCATTTCACCGACCATAAAGCAGTAATAATGAAGTCGAAACGGCAACCCAGAGCTCAGCACTACCTATGACCAATAAAAAAAAAATCAGCACCATCAACACTACCTATGAACAATAAAATCAGCATCATCAGCACCACCAGAGCTTCGCCCGAATCGACATCATTCACCACGTGGAATGCGGTCATTTTTTTGGTTTCCAGTTTGGGCCATGGGATTTGGGATTGAGAGGAAGGAGAGGGTATATGTTTCTGGGAGTAACAGTGAAAGCTATGGACCATACGAGATTGTATAAAATAGGGAAGAGGGACAGTTAAAACTTCTCTATTACATCCTTAACCGCTCCACCTCGCGCGGCCGCGGGATATGTTGATGGGATGACTACGAGCTTCCTTGCGGCTACCTCCGGCAGTTTATTGATTTTAAGGTATCGACGTTTATCGAAGCCACACTTGCGTGTTGCTTTTGTCGTGGGACAAATTAGTATTGCCAATGAAACCAACGCCAAATTCAACTGAAGAAATCTTAATTGATACAAGCGCGTTTTTTTTTTTTTTTATATGGCATACGTTTGCATCCGGTTACTGTATCTTAGTTTTTAATAGGAATCACTCCGAAATTAATCTCCGAATTTTGGAGAATCGGGGATTTGCGAAAAATAAACTCCGATAAACAGTGAATTTTCGCTAAAAAATAAACTCCGAAAAACACCCTCCGAATTTCACGAAAAATAAACTCCGAAAACACGGAATTTATAGTGTTTAATCCTCCATAAAGTTTGGGAATAGGGTAAAACAAGTAAAAAGTAAAGTAAACCAACGAAGGGCGCCACGCACGTCCAAGGGGAGGACTCGCGAAGGATCACCTGGGGATCTCCTGGCGTGCAGCGGACATCTCACTCACATCTTTTCCGCAATACGACTTCGTCAAACTGCGAGCATCTCGATGTATTGCCACTAACAGCCTGATAAGAGCTGGCCTTATTTTACGTTCGCGTTTCTTGCTACGTGATTGGTTCTTCAACGGCCGCAATGGCATCGGCTGCAAATGGCCGCAATGGCATCGGCTGCGGA